TTAGCACATAGCAGCCCAGTCCTTGTTGGTAGCCTTAGCATCTTTTTTTTCCCCTCTGCCTGCCGGCTGGGTTTATGTAGTGGTACGAAGGCTTATGAGGGAGGCAGCAAGGAGGAAAGCTTTGACAATTTGTTTCTAAATATCAGAAGGCTGCACTCCACTGCACAGGGATCCTGCATTCCACTCCTATCCCCCCATTTCTTCCTCTTCTATTTTGTTTGATTCATCTGTTTTTTTATTCGTTCTCATGCAATCATGAAATAAATTTGAGTGCATTCCTAATTATGGGCCAGGTACTGGGCTTAGTTGCTGAACAAATCATGTGGTATCTGCCCTCCTGAAACATAATCATGCAAAGAAGACAAATATTAAATTAAACAAGTGCATATTTTGTTCTCTCATTAAGGAAAGCACTTTGCAACTCCTGAGCTGCCGCACACAGGAGAAGGTAACCTGTGCTGGCCCAGAAGCTCTGCAGCGGTCCCCAACCTTTTTGACACCAGGGACGGGTGCTCTTATGAGAATCTCATGCCCGATAATCTGAGGTGGAGCTGAAGTAATGATGCTAGCACTGGGCAGTGGCTGCAAATACAGAGGAAGCTTCGCTCACTTGCCCACTGCTCACCTCCTACTGTGCGACCCGGTTCCTAACAGACCACGGACTGGTACTCGTCCATGGCCTGGAGGTTGGGGACCCCTGCTCCACAGGAAGGTTAGAATTACTCTGAAATGTGTGGGGTTTTTTGTTTTTTTTTGTTTTTTTTTTTTGACAGAGCTTTGGCTGGGGGAGGAGTGGCTTGTTGGGAGCAGGTCTGAGCCTTTGCCTCATTCAGTCTGTGCCTTAGTTTCCCCATAGTCAAACAGCAAGTCTTTTACTTTCTTTACCCCTTAATGTGGTTGTAAGCATCAAATGAGTTTAATGTGAAAACACTTTAAGAAACACGGAGCTCCATGGAATGTTGACTATTTTTAATAGACGGTTTACAGGAGTTTGACTAGGCACTGTCTTCAAGGCCTAACTAACTCAGCTCTGCCAGCTCTGAAAAGTCTCTTGTCAACTTTAAGGCCGAAAGTGCATTCTTCTTCTTCTGAGCTTCTGTAACATTTCAGGCACCACTCATTTAGCAGTCATTATTTAGAAGTCTTTCGTTTGGTGGCCTTGAACTTTTATTAAACTTAACATGTGGTTTCCCTTTAAAATGCAAGCTTCTTGAGGCCAGAGACTGTCTCGTTCCCTTTTGTGCACTCCTGCTTTACCTAGTCCAGTTCCTCAGGCATGCATGTTTGCTCCCTGAAACCAGCCCATCTTTGGGCATGCTGTCATCTTTGTCAGGACCGTACTATCCCTGCTGTGGGGCTACATATTCTTGTCTCTAAGATTCAGCGCAAGCATCCCCTCCTCCTGCTCTCTGACCTTTGCTTTTTTTTTTCTTTCCATGGCACTCTGTTTGTATCCTTCAAGCATCCCCTCCTCCAGGAAGCTCTCCCGCTCTCTGACCTTTGCTTTTTTTTTCTTTCCATGGCACTCTGTTTGTATCCTTTTTACCACATTTGATACATTGATTTAGAGTGACCTGTTTATGTCTCCACACTAGCCTGTGAATCCTCGAGGAAAGAGATCATGTCTTATTCTCTTTTTCTTTCAGTGCCAAGCACATCCCATTCTCCATGAATATTAGTTGAGTACATGAATGCCTGGCTCAGTGTTAGGATTCCTCTGGTGACAAGTAATAGAATTGTTCTAGCACTAGCTTGCTTAAAGGAGACTTTGTTATAGGATATAGGGGTGAAGCTCAGAATCCAAAGAGGGTAGGGCTGGAATCTGGGACAGGACTAAAGAGACTCTGGACCTTCTTCTTCTCTTTGACCTACTTTGTGTGTCTGCCAAGTCCTTCTCTTTCTGCAGTCTGGATTGCTCTGGAGAAAGATGCCTAAGACCCTAAGACCCTAAGCTTATATGGTACAGTACCAGCCACTGGGGACAGTCTCTTGGCCCCAATTCCTGAATTTGTGAGACAGAGGCTATGGTCTAATGTGGGCCT